CCCCCCCCCCGAGGCGCCTGCCAGTTTTATTTCTGTCGCGAATTGTAAACAGGGAGGAAGGCGAGTTTAACGAGCTCTGACGTATTCTAATCAGATCCTTCCATTTACTTTTGCGGATCAATTTGTGTGTGCCATCTGATCTCTTCTCTCTTCTCCTTTCTCTCTATGTATGCGCTAAAACCAGAGAGCAAAGAGAGAAGTTTTGTGTCCCCTCCGATGAGAGAGAGGTCTCTGTGTGAAGATTTCCGGCTGCTTTGAGAGAGAGAGAGAGAGAACATCTCTATGCTACGTCGGGGAGAAATCACTGGTAGCCATAGTTCTTTTTCGAAACCTCCTTGCAGCTCTGGACCGAGAATTCTTTTATGCCGGTCATCAGCAGCGAGTAGTCTTTTCTTTTTACCTTTCCTTCCGTTTATTTATCACTCGTGCAAGTTTAACGTAGCTGTTACAACAAGTTTAATTTGTTTACAGTGCTGTGGAAAAGGTTCCCTAGCAAATCGAACTCTTTATTAATATTTATGATGCACGATAAATAGACAATTACGTTATCTTTATTAATATTTATCTTTAATTAGATATTAATATTTATCTTTATTAATATTTATGATGCACGATAAATAGACAATTACGTATTAATTATATTGAAGTATCGCTGCTGAAAATGTAAAATGAAAAGATTGAAGATTTTCGTACACCACTGTAAATCAATTGTATCGTTAGCTAGAAAATCTTGAACGTATGAAATTGTTTATGCGTTTTCGTTTCCGTATCGATAACAATTAATAGCCAAACATATATATGATCCTTGTAGGTCGAACGACGGGAATAAAGTCGAAGCAAACGGTTGTGTATCTATGTTGCGTCGTTTTAAAAATAGCCTCTTGTAATTCAAAGGTTTACTGTCCATCATATAAATCGCCTAATCCTCTCGGGGGATTTGTTTCGTCGTAATTAATGGTAGCTGCGTGTAATCCTGCTTGCGAACAAGAAAAATCTGTTATTTGAATGTAGTAATATTTGAAAGAAAGAAAAATAGAATAGAAAAGAAATACCTAAATATACTTGTAGAGATAAAGCTAATCAGTAGACGAAATTAATATAATTCAGTGTAAATCTATTGTAAAATATTTCATCCATGAAATTGACGAAAATTATTTGAATTGCAGGGAAGTACCGCGTTCGACGCAAATTCCCACTGCCGCGTACAATTTGGGACGGTGAGGAGACATCTTACTGCTTCAAGGAGAAATCCAGGAGCGTCCTGAGGGATTGGTATGCCACTAATCCCTATCCTTCGCCTCGCGAGAAGCGAGAATTAGCAGAGAGCACAGGGCTCACCACTACGCAAGTCAGCAACTGGTTCAAAAACCGCAGACAAAGGGACCGTGCAGCTGAACACAGGTATTTACTTCTTCCCCTTGATATTTTAATAACATTAATCTTATTAAACATCATCAAGGATACTCATAAATTTTTGTAACCTTTGAAAGGTTAAAACCATCTAGGATGTGTTGATATTTAACTGGTGAAATATCTTGTTCATCTCAGCTGACCCAGTAAACACATAATTCTAGTAAATTTCGCGGGAAATTTGAAAGCACAGTTACTCAAGCAACGGTGTTACTTGCAGGTATGAAGACGTTTTATAAACAGGCAAATTCACGCGTACATACGATGAACGTATGAATTAGCTCGTGAGTAAGAGAAGCTACATAACTTCCTTCTAATAATCAAATATCGAGATGCGCCAGACACGTCTGAAGCGAATGAAAGAGAGGAGAACACACGAGAAATGTTGGTGGTGTTGGAATGAAAGTAATGTCCCATCACATCGTCATCTGTTGTACGAACAATATTTCATATGACACACATAGGAATTTTATATATAACACAACAAGTTTCCTATATATTCTTGCCCTTGTGTGACCTTGTGTTCGAAGAGATAATCGGCAGTGACCGAATTGATATCCGTGTGGAATCTGTGGAGGGCGCAAGCGTAGGAGTTTCATGTTGTTTGGAAGGTCGTTGCTCTACATCTGATTTTAGAAACGACCGAGCAAACTCGAAGACGGCCTCATAACTAACGTAACGTTAACGATGCATTTCTCTTGTGTCTCGTGATCTGCTTTTTGTCGGGTCTGGACTTCTCTTTTGGTCTGTATCCTTGTAATTCATACTGCAAGAACACGGTTGCGCGTTCATCGACAGATAAATTACGCACGTTTCGTTTTTCGTTGTTATTTCCAGATTATCCTCGAATTTAATCATATGAACGTTAACTTTTCCGTTCCGTTCGCGCGCTGCAACTCTGTAATTTTCGATCCGAAACGAACACCTCGTTCAAGACGTAATACGATCTGTCGAACCGCTTAATCGTCGGATCCTCATTACCGCCATTTTCCTCTCCACCGGAAAGAATTAAAATTCCCTGCTACAGAGAACAATTTAAGTACCGTTATAATACGCTCCCTTAAAACCGTGCGGCAATATATGCTCAGTTTTTACGTACCCTTGTATACATCCTCGTCTATATATAAGCACTTGTATCATAATTTTCTATTTCCGTGATATTTAAATCCACTCGTATTCTCTTCATCTCTCCCCTTCCTCGGAAAGAAATTTCAACTTACGATTAGCAACATCCTACGGCGATCACGATTTTTCTTCTTTGTTTAGACACATGCGTAAGAAAAATAGACACGCTATATATAACATATAGATGAACTTATTAAAGTAAAGAATCCTCAGCTTCCGGTTCACGTGCAAACGCAAACTCTTCTAATCTGTGGAAATATTTTCTTGCTTTCTATTGGTTATTTCTAGACGATTTTGATTGAACATTAGGTTAAGGATTATAGAGTGTTCATTTGCGAAACATTTCGCAACTTCTGAATGACATCAGGAAACTCTCGACGATATCCATTGAGGAAGATTCATAGCGGTTGACGAGCCTGAAACGCGACCGAAGGATCGGATACAATAAATACACGAAAGAAAGAAAGAACCAGCGGGTTGGTTCCCTTGATTTTGGCGGATCCATCGATGCGAATCGTGGCCAGGATAGACGGCGTTTCTCTCCTCGCCGAGAGAGAATTTCGCGAGGGAGGAAGTGGGAAGCACCACCGTGGCGAGGCCCAGTCCAGTACACAGCCGTGTCACGCCACGGGGAACGTATCGAATTTCTTATGGCTTCTGTGTATTCCCATGAACGGAGACAGAAGGTCAGACAGAAACAGAAAGTTATACAGGGAGACGTTAGGGTGGCAAGAAGGAGGGGAGAGAAGAAAGAGAGAGAGAGATAGGCGCGGTGGTGGATCCTATATAGTCCTATCCGATGGCTTTGGGGGTATCGTGGATACGCATGGCATCATTCGCGGCATATTAATTACAGGAAATCCTACAAAGCATCCATATCACCCTCCCATGCTTCCCCTATACGTAATTCGTTGTACACCCCTTCGACGGAATATCGAGTTGAGATCATCATCGTTGCAACGTTCCTTTCTTTTTATTAGCAAAGCATATACACACTTTGTGTCTCTTTCTTGCGAGGACATCCTCTTTTTCTCTCGCTGGTAGGAAATCGATGCATCGTCCATATTTTGTCCTCCTTAAGTAATCAAAGTTTTAGGTTAGGTTAGGCTTAGGTTCAGGTTAGTTAGCTAGATATGTTCCAGGTTAGGTTTAGTTAGCTAGATAGCTTCTAGGTTAGGTTTAGGTTAGTTAGCTAGATAGCTTTCTAGGTTAGGTTTAGTTAGCTAGATAGTTTCTAGTATATTCAAATTTTCTACTGAAGGCTGGATCATTTGAATTTAGAGTGAAACGATTCAATAATGAAACTTGAATCTTCTTTCGCAGTCGCGACAATGATGCAGGCCAGCCAACTTTGTCCTAACAAAGAGGTTAGGAGCTAGCGCGAAACGTGAACGAGCGACGACACTGCTGCTTAGACGAGCAATTCTTATCGCCACGCATCATTAACATCGTCTATCCTTCGTTCTTCCTCTCTTCCCTTTCTTTTTCTTGTTCTATGCGCCTTCGGTGCGAGCACGTGTGACTCATTAATTCGCCGAAATATAATTCTAGCTGTCCACTCTCTTATATTTTCGTTTCGGTCGAATTTATTGTCGCGTCTCCGTCGTCAAGGTTGCGTTCCAATTACCCAGTCGTGACACGATCCTAACAACGAAAATTTCGCTGAAATCGACGAATGACACGGTTGTATGATTATCTTGCCACTGATAGGTGGAAATTTAAGTTTCTTCAGATAGTTCTTATCTCGGCTCATCTCCTGAAACGAGATTATCCAGAAAGAGAAAGGATAATTCGGTTGCCCTCCACCCCTTCCTCTGATTGTCTAAACCACAGTACTTTATTAATTGAACCATCCCAGTAATCAAACGAATCTTTTCTCTTGAGGGCAGCTGCCTATTGATTCTTCGAATTGCATCGACTCAGATTTTATTAACAGATCGAGGTTTC